TTCACGACCGTTCCTCGGACAGTCAACACTACGCCCTCCCTGTGCTTGTGTTCGTGTTTGTCTATCTCCCTATCTCTCCCACTCACTCCCCCTGATGCCTACCCATCACGTAGTTTACCTGACCCCGTATACCGCGGTAGTCCCGCCAGCTTCAATGATACCCCGCTCGATTTTATTCGATTATACGGCGGTTTTAATTGAATTTCCCGGTGATAAATTTATAATCCACACGGGGAATGGAGGGGGGGGGGGTAACGGCGATTCTCCGCACACACTTATCCACCCTCTGCCCCCACACGCCCGGCCGACCGACCGATGTGGTCTCGTCGTCGACTCACAAATATACGGTACCGATAAATACATTTATATATATATATGTAGGTATGTATATGTCTATTGTGAAAACGACAACGCCATCGTCGGAGGAATAAAGTCGAGTTTGGAGGATAGAGATAATCAAGGGGAGGGAAAAAGAACAGAATCGACTTTCGAATGTATACAAAATGATTATTTTATATCACGGTTTATACCGTCGTTTAAGTATTTTACAATCGGGTGAATTTATATTTTTTTTACCCTCCTACCTAATTTGGAATATTAAAAAATCTATAGGTAGATTAGGTTCCTTTGAAAAATCTATAGGTATTATTTAAAATTATTTTTATTAGGTAAAGAGTTCAAATCGCATACGTTTTCAAATGATAGTATATAATTTTTACTTCGCATTCTGAAGTAAAATATTTTTCTGAGAATTTCCGTGTGTATAACTGAATTTTGATCCAATAGTCCCACTCCTTGGATTAAAAAACTGATATGCTAATAAGTTATAACCATATTCAAATGTACACCCAACGAATGGCATATCTCATTAATATATTATTTTATTGTTTTCAATTATTGTTAGGAATAAAGTATATTCAGTTGACAACTGGGAACGCATCTATGTCCACGGCGCATCGAATGTCACTTAAATTACGTTCATAAACATTCGCTAACTAAAAAATAAAACAAACAACATGTTTTAAATTGTGACGTGGTTTATTTCGCCGTCGTTTTTAAATTAAAGTATTAAAATATTCAAATAGTTTATAATTAATTAATTTGTTAGTATTTCAAAGTGATTGACGCAGGCGGTGATTAGCATTCGTTGATATTTGTTTAAATTGTTTATATTAACCTATCATAATTTCCCCCCTCAACCAGCAAAATCAAAACCATCGATTTTGTGGTAAATTACATTTTTCAACTCGGGGAAGAAACATCCGTGGTTCGTATTAAAATATAGTAAACCGCGGAGAAAAATAATTTAATAATATAATACTATGTAGTCGGTGGCGGCGGCGCTGTCGGTTTCTTTCGTGGAGCGTTTCTTTTCATACTTCTCTCGTCGATCGGACGGGGCTCGCGCGGTAATGGATAATTAGATATCAAGCCGATGGGATTAAAAAAAGTGTATATATATATTATATATATATATATATATATATACGAACAAAACGAAAACGATGGGAAAAAAGCGAAACATTTCAAGTACATGATAGTATGATACACAAAAGGAGTGCAGAAAAAGAACGAATAATAATAATGATAAAAAAAAAAAACCACCAAACTGTTTACCCTTGAGGGTCTTTCCAAACAAACGCGCAACCTACCTGCCAACATAATGTGCACCGGCTGCATACTACATGCGTCCCCAAAATAGGGTAAATAACCAAGTGGATAATAAATTCAAAAGCCATAGCAGGACGCGAATTATCAATTATTGCAAAATATAATAGCTATGTATAAATGATCGACGGCGATCTTGTTTCAAAAGTCAATGATCGACGTTATGGATTGTAGAAATATTAAATGTATGGTAAATGCAAAGTATTTTCGAGAAGCAAACAGAACATTTGAAAAAAAAAATAATCATTCGCCTATAGATTTCATTACATTTTTATCTTTTACATCATAACCTGTTAACTTATTTCCACGACACGTTATTCAGTTATTGTGTATAATTATAATCATTATGATTACCGTGAATTACAAAATTATTATTAAGTTTAAGTTTTGACCCCTAAACGAATACGTTTACAGTTTTTTTTAACCTGTACCCTGCACCTATATAAGTAACTTCTAGTTGTGTATTTAACTGGTGTTTATGTACTAAGAGTCGTGTCATATCAGGTATGAACTCTACATTATTATCTACTTCCTTTTATGCCAATTTTATCTCAGTCACCATGATAATATTATAGTATTTATTTGTGTTCTCTGTGGACATATTTTGTACAAAGTATAGGAAAACACGATTTATGATTGATTCTTTATTCTGGTTGTTATGTTTTAGAATTGATATTTCGCCGTTCGTCAAAAATATTTCATAGTATATATTATTATCCATTAATGACAATTACGACATCGACCGCGGTCATCGATAGGCGCCCAATTAGGCTAGAAAAAAATCACGCTAAGACTCAAATCATCTACGGCCTTTTCTAAATCATCTTTTTTACGCTACTTACCTTCTGATTAGAATAATATTTAGAACACGAAGTGTAGTATGTGCCCTATACAGTGTACCTACGCGTATTATATGTTCGGACTCGATTGAGCCATCGCGGTTGTCTCCTGTTCCGTAGCATGTCGATGGCTTAATTCAAAAAATGTGTGTTTACAAAAGGGTACATTGTACACTAGAGCAGATTCAATTTTTTCGAATTGTGTGTGTATGGCAGGAAAGATTGGGAATTAATTAATTTATATTAAACTGTTCAAATATTCGCCGTTTATTGATGTGCGCTTTTAATAATATTTAAGAACAATGAGCAATTATTCAAAAGTTAAATTCTGGCGGTTTTTTTAATTTTAAATTGTGCTCAAAACTTTTTAAAATATTATAAATGTACTTATTGAAACAATATAATAGGTGGTACCTACGTAACAATTAATTATGTATTGAGATAAATGTGTTACCGTCATAGGCGCAATTCCGGCAATCGTTTTAGGGGGGTTATAATAATTTAGGACGCAATTAGTATGGGCCCCACCAATCTTACGTAGTATATATTTATATGCGTAAACGAGTACAATATATTTGGACGTGGTCGAGCAGTCTCGGTCTTCTCCCGCATATATCGTGTTACATAGCAAAATTAACAAATTAAAGATGTTAAAAGGTTAAATTCTGGAATTTTTGATTTGAAACTGCTCAGCACTTTCGAAAAGTTTATAAATGTACTTGTTCAAACGACATAGGCGACGGTACGTAACAATTAACTATATGTATTGAGATCAATGTGTTACCGCAGTAGGCTCAATTTCAGCAATCGTTTTAGGGGGGTTATAATAATTTAGAACTCAAGTACAGTATTATGGGCCCTGCCATATATTATTATTATTATTATTATTATTATTAAACTCGCAAGCGTATCATGTACCGTCATACAGACGCGATTGAGCCGTCGCGGTCGTCTCCTTTACCGGTGTGGCATAGTTAGTAAATTATTGTTTGGTCTCCACAGTTGTACGTTTAACATTCGCAGGACACTGTCGTGCTTTCGCCGGTGTACGGTAATTAACAAACCTCGCGATGGTCAACACTTTGCATAACCCTCTCGCAGCTAATTAACGGTCACTGCTGTGAATTATCATAATATCGTATCGGAATTCAGTCCGCGGAGCTTGCCCTTTATAAACAGATTGAATATGTTTTGTGAGTTTTGGTTTTCCGGATGGCGTTCCACAAACACTTGTTAGTTGACAAACAAAGGGTCTATAAACAAAAATCACGAGTGCTTTTATTATGTTGTTGTTGTTATTATATTGATATATAATTAGGTACGAGTATGGTTCTACGGACATGATATATTAGAGTACATTTAAATATTTACAATCGTCTTTAATTATTAGTTATAATAATAATAATGTCAATAATATAACAGGTAGTAATAGTAATAATATATTATTTTTTTAATATTCAGAGTTAATCACAAAGATTTACGATAGTTTAATTTGAAATCGTCAAATATTTGTGATACATTCTGTATGTACATATTTCGCTGATTCGTAGTGAGGTGGTTTTTTTATAATATATATTATGTAACTACCTATAATTTATAAATTAAACAATAATAAGTACATAGGATTTCATAACGAGAACTTAAAACGATAATAATAATATTACTAATTTTTTATATATACGTAATAATAAATGACAATATGATACTCGATAATAATATATAAATGTAATGATGCTATAATATGATATTATGTTTTATACTAAAATGATCATAACATATTATTATAACGATTAATGATGCATGATAGCTTACGGAAATTACTGTATAATTACTATACATTTTTATATCTTTATCGCGTTTTATATTTACTATCCATTGATTGAAATAAACTACAAAGTAGAAAATAATTTTTTTTTATATATTACAAAATATCGCAGTAAAAAAGAATGTAATGATACTAATAAATAATAACGATTTAACACTTTTCGTGGAAAAAAAAAATAATATACATCTATCCTTAATATTAAACTTCCCCTTTTGATCTGTAATGAGAATAATTATTTTTAAAAAAAGGTAAAATACAATCTATTTAATACTATTTCGTTGACTTCAAATATTAAACTTCTCGTGGAAACCATGGCTTATACGATGCTTAATAAAGACATAATGAATAATATTTTAGTAACCGCAAATATATTTCAGTTTGAAATTAATTGGAAAAACATGAAAATAATAGTGTTTACGATGTAACAAACAACATACGGAAGGCTTCGAAAATGTAACTAAAATTTACTTAGCATCAATGTCCGTAAGTTATGTTTAGATTAATAGAAAAAAGATTTTCTTCGAGGATATGTAAACTGATATGTGACGAAATTACATTTGTCCTAAACACTCAATCAAATAAACGCGTCATGACTGCAATATATAATATCGTTATTATTTACACATTGAAATAAAAAATAATGGCATTGATGAGAAAAAAAAAACATTACCTACCTATATAGTTATCGATTCGAATTCGCTGGAAACCATACGGCGTGCACTCTACGTCCGACGTCGTTAAACGCAACTTTTGAGGTTCGCTTGATAATAATTATACACAATATTATAAATTTAAAGAAAAAAACGATCTTTTGGCTTTAACTTTAGCAGTTAGCATATGACGATAAGTCTATGTTATAACAATATCTCTAATGTTATAATCATATAAATAAAATATTATATCAACAGTATTCGATGGACAGATTTTGCCTGTAATAGACGGCGATGGTTTCGGACGGTCCTAGAACTGAATCACACCGTTAAGTCGTGCAAGAACGAACGGGTCGACGCGAGGACCACCGCTGCAACCAGGACCGCAGTCGCGGTAACGCCGCCGCGGGTCCTCGGCGGGGCGGCCACAGACGTCTGCAGGCACTTTTCAACGACCGCGGAATCGACGACGGCGACGGGCTGTCCGTTCAGCTCCAGTGGCGAAATGCAATAGTTCTTGCCGGTGAACAGGTCGCGGGACTCGTTGCCGAACGGGTGGCCGTCCAGGAACCGGAATAGGTGACAGTCGCACGGGAAGTGGTTGCCGACCACGGTGAACCCGTCGGGGGCGGCGGAAGCGAGCCCGGAGAACGTGCCCCGGCGCGGGCTGTCCAGCACGTGGTTTCCGTTGAACCGGAAGTGCCGGATGCGGTTGTCCCGGGTCACGGTCAGGCTCTGCACCGCGTCGATCTTGTTGTTCAAAAGGTTGAGACTGCCGACGTGCGCTAGGCCTGTGAACGCGTCCGCCCGGATTACGCCCAGGTCTGAGTCCTGGATGGACAGCACGTGCACGTGGTTGAGGCCACGGAACGTGTATGGCTTCAACGACGTCAGGTCCATGAAGGACAGCTTCAGCAGGCCCACCGAGTCCAGGCCATTGAACGCATCGGGCTGCAGCTGCTGGATGCCCGACGGCAGGATGAGGTGTTCGACGTTGGTTAGACCGGAAAATGCATTAGCCGACACCTGCGCACAAAGGTACAAACAGGTACATGTAATTTTACATTAAGGTAATAATCGAAACAATGATATATTATAGAATTTTTTTTATCTCTCGTCTGATTATTGGCACCTAATAAGTTTTGTTACTTGAAAGGCGACGAAAAAAAAGCATACCAAGTCATGTAACTGCGTTACACAGGAAAATGGACCTATGGTTAGTGTTCTAGATAAATTTCAAATTCAAAACGCCGAGTTTGAAAAATTTAACAATCCTTAATATTCTTAAGAGTCACCCGTAAATGGATCTATAAGACTATAGTTTATCAGAAGACTATGTTTACTACATAACGTAGGCACCTATGTGAATAAATTGCAAAATCCAACACATAAAAAAGTTCGAATGATAATAAAAATAAAATACAGTAATATTTAATACGTATTTAATATTTCTCTAGGGTATACGCGCAACATGGAGTGCTTTATTTTCTTAGAATTGGATAATATTAATATCACATTGTACGTTTAAGGAATATTTACCGTAGTTGTATAGAAGGCAGTTTTATTTTATTAAATATTCAACAAATTTAAAATAATGCTTTTCATACGATCAAGTATAAGATTGTGTCCTGTTTTCCCGAAAAATTCAAATCATTTGGTAAATAGTAATAAAACGTATCTTTTAAGTCATTCGTTTTTTATCATGCAGCTGCTAAAGTGAGATCGCAATTATTTATCTCGTCGGTAAATCAAATATTCGTCTGCGCCACGGCAGTATAGTGTTATCAACTAATTTCTATCCTTTACTAAAGTCAAACGGTCCACAGGTGGTCGGTCAAAGGTCTCACCGTGTGCAACGGGTTGTTGTTGAGCAGTATGAGCCTGATGTTGGCGGTGCCGGCGAACGCGAACTCGTGTATGACGCTTATCTTGTTGTACCCCAACAGAATGGCCGTCACGTTCTGGAGGCCGGCGAACGAGAACTTATCCAGGGACTCGAGCGGCGTTTGCTGGATGGACAGTTCCCGGAGCCGGCTGAGTCCGCGGAATGCGAACCGGTCCACCCGGCGTATGCCGTTCTTGTCCAACGTCAGCTTCCGCAAGTGCCGGAGACCGGTAAAAGCGTCGGTGGGCAAGTACGACAGGTTATTTTTGGTAATCGACAGGTGTTCGACAGACTTGGGCAAGTCGCGCAGCGGCACGAATGTCAGGTGTCCGGAGTTGCACAGTATCTGAAACGGAACGGCGCGAGTACAGACAGTACATTATTATCATGTCTTTGACAAATTATTTTCCAACGTCTACCAGAAATGTTGGTTATGGTTTACGCAAAAATTTAAAACTAAATTTAAAACGTAATTTTAATTGCATCAGAGTTTCTAACTTGGTAGTACCATACTAACTCCAGCAGAACCGATGCAAGTCCAAATGTGATAGATAAGCTCATATTGCTATAAATATTGTACATAACGTAAACGTTGTTAGTTAATAATGAATTTATTCTGTTTAACGAGTATAATATAAATATCGTTTATTTAGTTTCAATATTGTTGTAAATGTTCCGTACATGAGTTATAACATAAGTTATAGCATCGAAATGATCTATTTTTGTAATTTTATCGAAAATGCGTTTCTGACACTCCCATTAAAATTATTTGTACAATAATTAATATGTGTGCTTAGCGTTGCGGCTCAAATCTCTACGATATAATACCTGTTGCTTAGCATTAACGGTAGCAAGAATAGATCATCTCCACTCATACTAGTCTTATAATCGGTTTATTATTATAACATTAGTCTGACTCGAATGGTCGAACGAATCATAATTATATTTAATGTGTGAATTGTTTATTTATATATATCATTAGTCATGTCTATGTAATGTAAAGAATTTATTCAGATTTTAGACAAAAGCTGTTTTTGACCAGACTATGTCTATATACATGATATGTATTGTATTATAGGGTTATTGAATTATGCCGAAATAAATAAACAAACAAATAAATATGCATTCCAATTTGGTAAAATATTTTGAGAAACTATGACTTGGCCATGGTTCTGAATATATCTATACATTATAAATATATTTAATTATTTTAATTTAAATTATAATGTTAATTTATTACTTTATATTTGGAGACGAAAATATTTAATAGCAACAAAATATATGTTTCTATTTTTAATGGACTACGAGAAACTGATAAACACCTGCATACACGGGCGTACACTAACGCTCGTCATGTAACATACACACTCAATTTGGCCACGTACCTCATCAATATTCTAAAACATTTGCCCGGCAACCCCAACGACAGCCACTGCGCTGATTGAGCGCCTAACACACAGATAGAATACGGTATTACGGTTCCAATGTCTCATCCACTATTTACTCTTCGATGTTATTCTATCTGTTAGATGTGCGCGAGTACAGGCCCATCACTTAACTATTAAGACCATACCGTAATTTAGGTTTATGGCCGTGCTACGAAGTTAGTTGGTATAGCCATATCAGAAGCCATAATATCACTACGCCGTCCACAGGCGGTGGTTTTAAAATATTGTACTTAACGTTGAGAGACAAACAAGCATCCGCAAACCGTCCTTCCGCTACCATCCTCCGGCATCACCCTGTCAGATAAATTACCGATAAAAATAACTGTTAACTGTATGATATTAGTTGATGAATTGCAACCACGGTTATGGAATCAAAACAATTGGAGATAATATCATCATTGATTATTTTATTGAAATGCAAAATTATAAATTGGGGTCAAGAAAAATATGTTCTTAAACTGATAATAGTGTTAAGGAGAGGACGATTCTATACTACTGAATTTTAACCACGCAAATACATACGTCGAGCTGTCCAAATTATTACGCTTCGGTCACACAGGTCACTAATTTGTCTCCACTCCAAACCACGATATTATCATATTAATTGAGGTATAACAAAACAAATCACTTTGTATAGGTAATATATACTATACGTATTCAATCCACTTTATCTTATTATATCTAGTTCCTCGCTTCTGGCTACTAAGTCAATGCAGCCGGCAAACCTTACTCTCTGCTAATTTTCAGGATATTTTACTGCTCAAACAGTCCGTGGCCGGACGCATTAATCAAAATTCAAAATGTTGGTGGTCTCGATGCGATTACCTGATACCTATTATATTATTTTAGTATATTTGTGTACCTATTATATATTTTGATTGGAATTTGGGAATTTAAAACGTTTTTACTATTTTTGTTTGTAAATTGAATTATAACTCCTTATTTTGTGGCCTTTTCTTTCTTATGAGTGATATACATTTTACACTTTTCGGTGCGATTTTAAAAAGTTCCTATTTAAATAGATTATCATGTTTCTCACTGGCCATTGCATAGCTAATGTTACATTACAATATAAATTAGTTTATACAATATTATTACAATTTAGAGACAAATATATTTTATATTATTAAAACTTTGTATGATATTTTGTGAAATAATAAAAAAGCACTTACAATTATTTTTATAGTATTTATTTTTACGATTTCATTCATTTTCATTGTAAACTTATGTCATGCCAAAATATGGTTCTCATATTTATTGATTCATGAGTTGTTTATATACATGTTGAATCCTCTCCAAATAAATATGTTTAGGACGGCAGTGTATAATATCTCATGCTTTATACATGGCCCGGTCACCAACTACTTACTTCTTGCCAATACGCACCAACCGTTATGTATCTGTCACTGAGTTTGTTGATATGAGCCACTCAATCAGCAGCTGCAGTGATCGTGATTGACGGGCAAATAAATAATAAGTTACGTGGGTGAATATTGTGTGTGTACGCCTATTTAGGGCACGATAGGTAAAGCGGTTATTGCTACGTATTCTTGAAATTTTTATCGAAAAATAGAAACGTTTTTGTTATTATTGTGAACTTATGTTTAACAATATGGTAATCAATTATTCACAATTAAATTAAATTAGATTTATTAAGAACCATAGTTAAGCCTGCCTAACATAGTTGCTGTTTGACAGTAATCACAAACAAGCCCTTTCTGTCATTTTAATAAATACATAATAAAATGCCAAATAATCAAATCGTAACTCATGTAGAAATTCACACGCATAATGTGACCAAAAACAACTGTTGCCTGGAACCGAATGAATTCTTCAAGTGACACAGACACCACAAATAAAATATAAAATGTACACAACATCAAATATAATTATAAATGGTTCAACCTCTCGAATCATACGATGGTATAATAACGAGCTGACTAGGTATTGACTTGTATGAAAATATATGAGCTTTTCAAGCTAGACAGACAGGTACTTTAATATTAAGTTAAGTATTATAAAGCAATAATAGAGCCTCAAAGGTTTGCACAAATATTTATTGTAGTTATTAATCGATACAAATGGTGTGTGTTAAAATAGTATTAAAAAGTATTAAATAGACTTAAATACATTTGGTTCTAATTAGGGTTCGTTCTCAAAAACAGTTCGTTAAACAGAACATTCTGTGAAATGGAAGTTAGGACGTGGAAGTTTCATCGTACTTGGAAATTTTAATAAATATAATCTCATCCACACTTAAAATAAAAAAATTTACTTATCAAAACCTATTTACCATATTTACCTATTTCCGTCAAATAGAATAAAACTAAGGACTAATAAATCTATTTAACCTGCATCTCACCTACTTCAGATGGTTGCACATTATAGTCGTTTTGCTCGAATTATCGACACTCCGATTCCATACGAACGTTTTAAACTCAGGAAGTTCAATGGTTAGCATAATATTCCATGAACACTTCTTATAGACATTCGGAAATAATTTATAAAAAAAAACTGTGTTCGCGTTCCCGGAGATGTACATGATTTCGTTTGACCATTTAGAATCATTCAGAATCTAAATACGATAGTATACCTAATATTATTTTACTTAACCAACTTACCAACTACTATCAATGACTGATATGAACATTAAATTGATGCAAGATAGTGTACGGTGTAACGAACTTTATATTTTGTTTAATATATAGGTATAGTGAAACTCCCTAATTATAACCAACTTCCATTTAACAAAATGTTCTATTTAACGAGATATTTTCTATTAAATTCTATTCTACTAAATTCTCAGTACGACTTTTTTCATCTCCGTGAGACATCGTAGTATGAAAATTTCATTGAATTAGGTAGATACTACAAAATGGAAAGTATTGTCACAACGTCACAAAAAGAATTATAACCTGTATTATTTATGGCTGAATTTTTTACAGAAAAAATATCTTTGTAGACCAATAATACAATTGATCTAATCAGTCTTAAAATAATAATAATACATTTACATTTTTGTCGTTACAAAATGTATATTCATATTATATTATATTATATTATGAAAAATTAAATATTGAACTTGTGTAATATAATTGAATTATTATAACGCACGCAAGTACGTATGCAACTGAATAATTACGATGAACTGTAGTTCAATCCCCAACTCTCGTTTATCGGTCGACTTGGTCATTTAGAAAGTCACAATTTATTCATGATAATAACAGGTACAATACCTAGGTATACTATAATATAACTTTTTTTTATCCGCCTGGAAATTTCGTACTGACCATATGACTTGCTTCATACAATCTCTGCACGTAAATATATATATATTTATGTTTATTATCCGCTGACCATTTCGTCGTGACGTCGAATACGTGTGCCAGTGCAGCGTATCCGGCGAGAGAATGTTTTTCGAAAATAAAACACAATCGAATGCACGACGGTTTCTAGAAAAGTAAGGGACCCTTTTTTTGTATTTCGGCGCAAAATGAAAAACCGCCCATACCTAAAAACCTTTGTAAAAAAATAACCCCCCTGACATATTCCTCGGAAAACAGTTGTGCCGTAATTGATTCGGTGAGCACGGGGACGTGAAATATAATAATATAATAGCACGATATTTGTGCACGACGGGAGCGGCGTGAAATATATACAATGGCGAATTTTAATATATCAGCGGTGTCCAGTTCAGTAGTTGGAATAAATCCAAATTTTAAACGGGAGATTATGTATATACAACAATAATAATAATAATAATAATAACAGTTTATAATACTGGGCATGGGTAGTGGCGTACAACACGTATTATATACGGTTACAACAATAATAATGTGGCTAGAATTCCCCCCCA